CAGCAACAAACCAGGAGGAGGAGAAATTCCGCCGAAGACGTTGACGGAAGCAGCACAGATGGCAACATGCATTACCAAAGCCTGGGGATCACATATCGCTTCGTCTGCTTGGTGGGTGTATGCGTCACAGGTAAGTTACTTCTTATGTGGAGTGTTTTCTGGAGCAGTTTCAATCCCGCTAAACTTCTAGGTATCAAAAGCTGCTCAGCCAGGAGAATACGTCACTAAGGGTAGCTTCATTATAAGAGGGAAAAAGAACTATCTCCCGAGTTGTCCATTAGTGCTTGGTTTCGGTATTTTGTTCCGTGTGGACGAAATCAGCGCAGAGAAACATAGGAAGCAGTCACAGGTACCTTTTTGTCGGTCGTATAGATAGCGTTTATCTCATTATCTAGTTTCATACCAGTTTTTACGTCTTGTCCTGATCTCTGTAGTGACATCGCACACAAAACAGGAACAAATCAAAGTTATCGTACTCTTTTCCATTCAGGAACAGGCGCAAAACTTGTCTGAAATGGAACCTGAAGAGTACACAGCGCCGGCACCTACTGATGACAACGATGAAAGTACTTTGGAGGAATACACAGCGAATCCACCCACTAATGATAACGGCGAGGGTGATTTAGATGGAGAAGAGGAGTATCCGGACATCAGTGTAAGATATCGTCATCTACCTATTTATTTTTACTCATACATATATTGCAGCTTGATGTGCCAACTGTTCGGCTACAAGTAGAGGAGGAGAATCCTGATGAATATTCCATCATTGAGTTTGCCAACAAAACGAGAGCGAAGAAAACAAATGTGCCTAAAAAGGAGCTTGAAACTAAGGAGTATCTTGAAAAGAAGGCCGAAGAAGAGCGCAAGGTTTGCATGAGCGAGTATCGCTTTCCTTTATCAGCGTTTTTATAGGCAGCTGCTGCAAAGAAGGTGGGAAAACGACAGAAGCATAAGTTGGAGAAGATTCGTAAAAAGTATAAGGATCAGGACGAGGAAGAGCGTGAAATGCGTTTGATGTTGTTAGGCTCTAGAGGTGCGTGCTCTTTAAATGGCTTCATCTTGCCTACATCAGTTAGTTCAGGAAAACAGAAAAGTGATGACGGGAAGGGTGTGAATGGTGAGGAAGTAGGCGATAAACATCCCTCGGCTAAGAATAATGTTGGTTTGAACGTGAGACGACCTGAACAATAGGAGTTATTATTTTTGCAGAAAGGTGTAACGAAAGGAGAGCGCCAGCGTCCCCAGAAACCTGAGCTTGAGGATATGCAATCTACGAATAAAGAAAATGCGACCGATCTGAACCGTGAAAAGAATCACGATGTCAGCGGCAAGAATGGTGATGAAGCTGACGAAGCAGTCATCAAAATCGAGGATAGCGCCATCAGTGATAGTGCTCAGGAAGATGTTGTAAATGGAGACTCGAAAAATGAGGTCCAAGATGGGCCGAATGATCCGAGCACTGCCACAGAGCAGGTTTGTGTTTTCGATTGTCAACTTGGACTTCATTCAAATTTGTATAATTTCAGAACCCTTCGAGTCAGACCAAAGATGCTGCCGTTGGTGATGGCGAGGGCGGAAAAGGGGCCGAAAATGATGACGATGAGGAGGATCTCAAAACTACTAGCGAGGGCACTGAAGGTATTTCTTAATGCTTCTCAACTTGACGTATTCCCATCAGTAATTAGTAACTCAAATTCTTCACGACTATTTTAGCGCTGGTATCACAACTTATTTCAAATCCTGAGCCTGACGATGTGCTGCTCTATGCCGTGACCATGGTTGGACCTTATCAGGCATGGCATTTTCAGACAAGCTCATCAACTGCTTTTGAGATTCAAAAATGAATCGCTCAAAATTTTTCTTTAGGTATTCCAAAACTTTAAGTACAAAGTGAAGCTTACACCTGGCTCCAGCAAGAAAGGAAAAGCTGGAAAATTGGCCATCGATTTGTTCTTGGTCAGTCGTTTGATTCTTCCACTCTTGTCTCTTATCAGAATGCCTTGCTTTAATTTGTTTTCTAATTTTTCTCTTTG